AAAGTGTTGAGAAATCGACTCCTATCGAACCAAAAGTGGACGAGGAAAGTGGTACGGGGATTGGACGGCTTGTAGTCCTCAAGAACCCATTGCCACTATCATCCCTATATCCAATCATCAAGAAGCACCTTGGAGTTCCATATAGTAAGCTCTATTGAGTTCATGCACTGTTCGCCCTTTCATCATTTTCAAAGTACAGGTTGCAAAGTCGTATAAGGAGGAAATTTCGACCATCGCTGGTATTTGTCACATTCAATACTATGGCATTATCTGATACGTTTAATCTTAGTTTGCGCTGGGTCGGGTGGATCAGTACTAAAGGACGTACAAGCGGACCTCTACTGGACGGGCGAGATGTCCCACGTACGTTTCTCTCAAGATCATTGGATAAATTTGACCAGTTTCCTTTATGTAGCATGAAGTATTGGCGGCCGTCGCCAAAGGAACGAATGTAATCCTTTGTGAGTGATCTTGCCGCCTTTCCTCTCGTTACATCCTCAGCTATCCTCAGGTGGGCATACTAATACCGAAAGGGGCTATTTGGAACAACTCAAAGGAAAACTTCAAAAAGAGCTGGCGTCTGATGGCTCGAAGGCTGGGTTGCAAGTCCAAATCTCGAAAACTGACCGCGATCCACTTGAAACGGTTTAGCTGGCTCAACGTAGACTAAATTACGTGTAAATTTCGTCGAAATATCTCCTCAATGCATTGAGTAGAGTTTAGCGCAATGAATATTCAATACCGACGGTATTGTGTCTCTTGAACCTCAACCCCATAACACAGTTTCTCTCATTCATCACATAAGCAACAAAATACAAGTCTTCCTAGTGGAATATGGCGGAATTTAATCCCGTTGACCCCCAAGATGGTTGGGAATACGACTTACACTCGGTAAAGTCGAAAACATTGGTTACAACGCTCTCCAATAATCGTTCACCCTTTACAGATATATACAGGGTACATACGTCATTTTCAGTCCTGTGGTATCGACTGGTGGAACAAGTCCTGGGGTACATTCTTCGCTACATTTGATGAATTCTTG